AGAATGACCAGAACCTTTGGCCAACTAATTCTCACATTAAGTTGACCAAAGAGCAATCAGTGCTGGAAAAGCGGAAGAATGCGACGGTTCTCATCGCGGCCGATAATGCTTCAAATCCAATTTTGGATTTAATTGAAAGGTCGTCGTCGTACTTAAAAATTCTCCGCATAGTGTCGTACATGTTTCGATTTATAAACGGAAAGGGGTCAGGACACATATCGCTTGTGCCAACTTCGACTGAATTGCACTTCGCCTTTTTAGCTATTGTGCACGTGATCCAGCACACTGCTCTCGCAGCCGAAATAGTCAAATTAGACAAGTCGGTGATCCTGCAACCGTCGTACCAAAAGCTTAATCCATTTCTGAGTCCGTATCAGTATGGAAAGCGTACTTTGATGTTGGTACGAGTTGGCGGCCGTTTACTCAAAGCGCCGTTGCCCCACAATGCGAGATTCCCATTACTCATGCCAAAGGGATGGCGATTTGTTAATTTATATCTGCGATACTTGCACCTTACCAATTGCCATGCAGGCCCTCGTGCGCTCTTGGCTATTCTTCGCCAGAATACTTGGCTGGTAAACGCTAAGCAAGCGTGCAACGCAGTGGTTCGGCAGTGTGTGCATTGTTTTCGATACAAGCCAATACTAGCCAACCAAATAATGGGAAATTTACCTGCTGATCGGCTACATGGATGTAGGCCGTTTGAAGTCAGCGGAGTGGACTTTTGTGGTCCAATTCCTGTCACGCTGGGGATACGTGGCAGAGCGCCAGTTAAGATGTACGTTGCCGTCTTTGTTTGTTTTACGTCCAAAGCTGTGCACATTGATATCGTTTCTGACTTGACTGCTAATTCCTTTATAATGTGTTTATCCAGGTTTGTGGGTCGCCGTGGAGCAGTCAAGCGGCTATATTGCGACAATGCCACCAATTTTGTGGGTGCAGCGCGCTTGCTGGAGGAGTTTCGGGCCACTTTCATCAGGAACCAGGATGCCATCATGTCGTATGCTGCCACCAAGGGAATAACGTTCCAGTTTATTCCCCCTCGAGCGCCGCATTTCGGCGGCCTATGGGAAGCGGCGGTAAAGTCGGCAAAGGGGCTCCTCCTCAAGGCAATAGGAAGCGCCAAGCTGCGGCAGGACGAGCTAGCAACCGTACTGGTAGAGGTGGAGGCCATCCTCAATTCGCGGCCAATCGTGGTGGACGGAGCCAATCCCAACGACGGCGAGGCGATAACTCCAGCTCACCTACTCGTAGGCGGAACGCTCGTGCCGCTTCCAACCGGGTCAGGGCAGCCCGTGAGAGACGACAGGCTGACCTACTTGCAACGCTGGCAGCTGATCTCAGGCATCAAGCAGCGGTTTTGGGCAGACTGGTCAAAAGACTACCTGCTGAGCCTGCAGCAGCGCCAAAAGTGGGCAGTGGGTCGGCCAGATCTGGAAAACGGAACGATCGTACTCGTCCACGAGGACAACGCGCCGCCTCAGCAGTGGATGCTGGGAGTCGTCCAAGAGGCGATAAAAGGCGCAGATGGAAAAGTGCGCGTGGCGATAGTACGGACGAAGGCAGGAGAATTTAAGAGGGCAATTCATCGCTTGGCGCCTCTGCCAGTCGAGCTGTTTTGAAGCGAATCGCTTCAACGCGGCCGATGTATGGGCATTTCATGCCTATATACTTAAGTATAGATTTAAGTTTGTTGAAATAATCTGAATTGTAGATATAAGTTGTTTGAATTATCATTGAATTGTAGACTTAAATGTTAATTTGTAATAACAGCTGTTTATGTTAGTCTCTTGGTCGCTGTTAAGTTAATGTCCACATTATGTTATGCGTATGCTAAGCCTTGCATGGCTAGCAATAAAGCACTTGAAAATTGGAAGTCGATTTGTGCAGTTTACTTTCTTTCGTTTCGGTGCTCTTCAGTGTACATAAGCCAGTGCGTTCGTGCATATAAGTACAAGTGTACTTATATACATATATCTTTGAGTTGATCGTCGCGACGAGGGACCCCTTCACTTTGCCTACCGGCAACTTTGCATGATCTGAGCGATCACTCATTTGAATACGGTAATCAAATTTCGTACTTTGTCAACAAAAATTATCAAATATGATGACAATACTTTCTTTATAAATATTCAAATTTTTGAAAAAGTTAATCAAATCATAATGAATATTGAGGTGATGAAATGTACTAATCATAAATAAAGAAAAGAATTAACCATACCCTCTTTTTCAATGATTAGTACAACATAAGATTCTTAAATCCACTTTCCTACAATAATCGAAATATAGTTTCTCGACCCTTGGAATATGCTAATTCTTTTATTTTTATTTTTTTAAAGGCATGACGTTTGCGTGATGACAGGCTACCAGATTCTGGGAATGTGTGAACGCAACGGCGCACAGTGGGCCCTCTGACGTTTTTCGTTGTACAAATTATATCTCCATAACGGGTGAAGATATTTTCGCCATATAAATGTAGTATTTCTTAAGCTTTAAAACAAGCCATTGCGCATTGTGCTATGATTTCTAAGAGGTGCACAATATGTTGTCAAAGTTGGATTTTATTCCTGTGCAATATTTGCCTAAAGAGACTGCCCTTTGTACATCGAAAAACACATTTAGTGATCAATTTCGTATAAAATGTTTTTATATTTTGGACTTCCTCTGACCTTTTTCCAATAAGTAGGCACTAATATCTTATGAAAATTATACTTTGAGTCAAAATTTAATCAACCATGGCGGTAAGCTTCCTTCACGATACGAATATTTTTCAAATAACATGTCTGCAGTCTTCGATGCATATTCTCCATATTTTAGTATCATCCAAATATTCAAAGTGATTTGGAGTTCTTTTTTCAAGGTTTTATACTTGTACTATTTGGAATGACTTTATCACCCGAGTGATTGTAGATATTTTGACCAGAAGATCCATAACAGACCCATTGTTGGACATGTATACCATTTTTGTATGCACATATTCCAACCAAAACCACTTTTGCCTATCAAATTCACTATTTGTATATAAATTAGTGGATAAAAGAACATGTAATTCAGGAAAGCGGCTGAAAAGGTTGCAAATCTGAAATGAATAATTAATCTTCAATTAATTTTACGTATCATTTGGGTTGCACAATATTAGATTCCGATCGTTTAACTAAATTTTGATAACCATAACGGAAAATACAATACAATCATTAGGTCATATTGTTATTATATCCTAAAAAAAAAAAAAACACTTGTACAAGATAACTTTATCGGATGTAGTCTTCTTATTTGGTGTTGCTTATAATTATAAAATAGGCAAACTAAAACTTTTGCAGTCCAGCTTCCACTAAATCGCCAGACCCTTTCTATGACTAAGTATTATTTAGAATACGAATTTTTTTCAAAATTGTTTTGCAATTTTACATTGGTATGCAAATTGATTCGCATACTCTTAGTAGCTTCAGCAAATGAACGTTTTTGAAAACATGAATTGCACGCGCCTGACCCTTGAAGTCATTGTAAATGAACATGCTTATGGTTCTTTTGAGGTAAGTAAAGGCCTGAATAGCCAATACTACATACCCATTTACCAATTTGTGACATAAATACAAAAGGGATCGCTTACTACTATGTATATGGTTTAGCAGTGCGATATGGTCAATATTATAATAATATCTGCGTACAAATTGAAGTAGACAGTCGGATAAATGGATATGAAATCATTGACTCCTTATACATGTACGTACACATGGCGCTTATCTGAAGGAGGAATTTCCTCTTTAGTGTTAAACAATTAAACTATTTCTATGAATACAAGCTTTTACGCAACCCGTTTCTTTAATTAAATTCTTTCTTTATAAAATTAGTCCACACTAATATGCAAGGGCGTAGGCAGCTTTTACCAAAGGGGGGACCAACAAATTAAAATTTTGATTTAATAATGCATGATGCATTTGAAAAAAACTTATGCATATGATCAATGAAAAAATGTCAACAAATCCAACTCAGATCCATTTTAAGGCGAAATAGTGCGTCATAATAATGAACGTGCCGACCCTTATATGGCAAACATTTCTGTAGGGGGGGGCCTGCCTTTTTGGCAACAAAGTACCCCTAAAATTGGTTAATAAATTTGGTAATTTGGTTTGGGTAATTAGTGCCCGTTCAGGGCACACCATTTTTTTTTGGGTGTAGGGGAGACAGCCTACAATCGTGAATTATGCTAAACGGTCTTTACAACCCCTTAAATTATTCAGAACAAGCAGTAGATTACCGAGAGGTTAAAAGCACATTTCATACATATGTACAAGTATGTATGTAGGCGATCCTTTTAATTCATGTCTCATGAACTCGTGAACCCACACGTGCTTATACACATACTTACAAACACACATATGTGAATATGCACATCAATAAGATCAATTGTACAATGAGCGCTGCTAGAATTGACGACGAAGAATTCCAACACGATGCGCCCATATTTTCAAAACATGTAAAAAGTACACATAAATGGCTTTAGAATGTTATCAGCATGTGCTGCTAAGGCCGTCTGAACAATTGAACCAAATGTGGGCACATACATGTATTTGTTAAATTTGCCAATAGCTGGAGAGGGGTCGACTGGATGGTCAGGGCATGTCCGCCATGTGGGCAGCTTATGTGTAGATCGTATGTTGCCTGCATGGATGGTGCCGGAACCAAACGGACGGCTTCAGAGAGAAATGTGTAAAAGAAAAGGAATGCAATGCTTTGTTTTCAGTCTAAGTTCTATTTTTATTTCGCTTATACTAGTTGACTTAATAATAAAATTTTACATGGAAGACAATGATCCTTAACTTAGGAAGACCTAACAAACAAACATGGAAGACAATGATTAGATTTCTTAGTGCTACTTAGATGCTAGGGAGGAAATCTACTAAAGAGATCACAATAATTTACAAGCTTGACACAATTAGTTACAAATGATTGTCCTTCTCGATAAGCGAGACGTCGAATCTACCCTAATATCACCCTGAGATTGCGGTACAAGCAAAGTAGTTCGCTTCATCGATGCTTCATGGATTGGCTGATGAGGCGACACTTGCTGTTAAAGCTGAAGTGCGACGATTTGACGCCGCGTGGATGGCCCTTTGATGGATGACCTAGGCTTGAACCCAACGGTCGTAGCGTTGGCGCATTTGCAGCTCCTGGTGACGAGCGCCATCGACGGAGGTCCAGAAGAACGTGCCGCTGGTTGTGCGGGCAAAGTGCACCGGTATGAATGTCTGCTCGGGATGAACGGGTACGAGGCGCTGCTGTTGACCCTGTTGCACGATCATGGCCGCATTGTTGGGGCACTGACGCAGATCGTTGTAGAGCCGCTGCTCCAGTTGCTCATTGGCCATGTTGTCGCAATTGGCTGCTGGATCTGTGCGCATGTCCTCTAGCGAAGAGTTGATGTCATTTTGGGTCTGTACCTCGCTGGGAGTTTTGCGCAGAAGCTGCTTCTTCTTGATTAGCCGCAGCAGTGGTTTGACGAGTTTCTTCAGGCTGTGCATGGCCATGGTATGTTGATCTGATTTGGGCTGCATCTTGCTGCTGCTCTCGAACTTGTATTCCCGAGTAATGAACGACATGCTGCACACACGCATTGAAATTTTTCTACACAAATCGTAACGAAAATGTTGCAATTGTCGAAACGCAGTTCTTCTCTCTTCGCTTGATGATACTGTTCTGCTCGTTGAAACAATCAGGCCTCGCTTTTATAGGACTAGCGCTCCGAACGGCCTCGTTGGCTTCTCGCATGGAGCGCAGCACTCTCTCCCGCGTCAGCCAATGGGAAGGCACGATGCGGGCAGGTGGTTGCATCAACGAGACAGAAATTGCGCTCACCAGATTTTTGAAGTGGATTTTTAGTTGGGCCTTTTTTTGTCCGCTCAGATTTAGGGTTCATGTTCGTTTCTCTCTCTTCCTCTCTACCTGCTGCTGAGACAACACTGCATGGGTTTTGGACAGAAATTCCACCAGCGAGGGCAAGAAAACAAGTCGTGACTTGTTTCAAAATTTTTCATCCCCCGGGTGCGAAACAATTTAAAATTCGATACGCAAACCAAAAAGGGACAGAGAACGAGACTGGGGATAACAATGCAATTCCTAAGCTAACAATAGTGTGCGTATCTCTGAAACAATCTCGCTGTTGGAAAAATTCAACTTGTCCGGCATTTCATTGAGACAACACATCATAAATCCCTTCGCCCTTTGTCAACCTGTGGGCAAGCAACAATTTCTGTAACGTATTTTCCCAACTTCCCGAATGTTTCTGTTGTTGTTGGATTTCGAAGGTTAGTCAATTTGTATTAATTCCGCATTTGGGTAATACCCGTACTGTACTGTAATGTTAGCAGGTACTTGGTGTATTTGTTTGTCTGTGTAGTTGGTCGGGACGTTCAAATGATGCGTGGAAAATGTGCGAAGCGGGAGAGCGACAAGTCGTTAGGGAGCTATTCGGTGTATGGGTTTTCCGTTTTCTGGAATTTCGGCGGCTCATAGTTGTTGGACGTTTTATGTATTGTCTTATCCTTGAGCGTTGAGCGTTTCACTTGAACGTCACGTCCGAGCTGATCTCTAACGGTTTTCTGATTTTGTAACGGCCGAAATGATGACGAACACTTTGATTTTTCCCTAGACAAATATATATGTAAGTATGTACGATTATATAAATGCGAAATGTTTATGTATGTATGAATATGTTTGTGACTATAGACATTTTTTGATTTGCTCCTCGATTGAAGTTCAAGGCAATGTTTATGGACAATGCTCTTGACTACCGCACTACTGTTATTCTTCTTCCTCTTTACATAAGGCACAGGCGCAGAGATTATTCCAGTTGGGGTCTGGCGCGCTTGCCAAACAAGTTTTTGTGTTTTTATGTTAGTTGCATCCGAGAAGCCGTTCAAGCAGCCTTACCGATCGCTAACCACAGTCGATGACAAATACATACGTACTTGTGTACAAATATACTATATACCTGCATACTATATATTTAAATATGTGCCATGCACATAATGTTCTTTCTTCGCAGTTGTATAGTATTTTCATGCAGAGAGCAGCCCCAAAGTCTTCAAATAATGCCCCATATTCAAAGTGAAGTGCATTTGAATGTTCATACACATGTACAAGTATGTATGTATATAAGAATGAATGTAGTATTGGGCATGCTTAGAATAGAATGGCATGTTTCGCGAGTTACATTTTTATAGTCATACAGCAGATAATTTGCACACAACAATACATGCTCTAGGCGAAAATATTGGTTACTATGCAATCAATTTCATATTCTTTATTAATCGGTAAATAAGGTATAAAATATATTTATAGGCTTTGTCAATGTATATAAGATCGGTCAGCATCAAGGGCGTACGTAGCTTAAAATTAAAATTTTGATTAAATACTACATAAAATAATTTTTGCATATGATCAATGAAAATCTTCAACAAATCCAACTCAGTTCCTTTATAAGGCGAAATAGTGCGTCATAATAACGATCGTGTGGTGGACTTTATATGTGAAAATTTTTTTAATCACATTGCGATATTGCTATATTTATATGCATTCTCATCGTTACTTAACTATAATTTTGAAATATCCAAAGGCTTTAACATACAAAACACTACAAACACTACACTGTACAAATATAACCCCATCTGGTTATTATAACTTTCAAATTTTTTTTTTTTTCCTAAAAGGTTTTTAATCTCCTTTATATGCCAAAGCTTCTTCCAATCCTTAAAGAAGTCCGGAAAATGGTTTTCTGGAATGACCTCCAGTACCTTCCTCAATTCGGCTAGAATCTCCTAACCGGACCAAAACGGTGTTCCCAGAGTATTATTTTCAATTTATTAAATACCCCGAAATCACACTTGTCTTTAAATAAAGTGTAGCCGAACTTCTTTGTATTATAATTTCGAATATAACATTTTTTTACTCACTATCCTTTACATACAGGAGCTGAAGACTTTATAAGCTATTGCTACGTTAAACACTAAGTTAACATTTAATTTTAATTATGTGTTAGCTGTAAAAAATAAATAAAAAATGTTGGACATTATAAAAATCGAAATAATCATTTTTAGATATTGCCAAAACACAAAAAACAATACAAAAAAAATTGAAACGAAATCTATAAAATATAAAGATTTGATCCCATCGCAACACCTACTTGACTTTAGGGTTATATTTCTTCACCATTTGAACCGTTGAACGATTTCAATCATTTTGTTGTTAAAATTATATATATACATAATTACAAATGCATTTGTACTGGTAGCTCATTTCAACTTTTTGTGAGACCCTTGGGTTATAAAAACTAAGAATAGTGCATTATTGTAAACCGGGGACAAACTTGATACAAATTTTTATACTTAGTATCGAACCCTATTACACCTAATTCTGATTTTACACGGTCCTTCTTTACACGGTTTTGATTTAATACGGTTTGAAAATGTACAATTTGATATATGGCTTTATAACAGATGATCATGTCCTTTTTTGAACGGTTGTTTTTAAACGACTTTTTCTGGAACCAATCTACCGTGTAAAAAAAGGTGTAATTTCAAATAGATTTAGATGGCCTATCAGCAAAATTATACACATATAGTATGTATTCAAATTTTAGTTTCCTATCAGTAACAGCAATACAAAATATAGTATGTGAAATTGTGAGCTGCATTCGCGCTATCGCACCAAGGTTTTTACTCGTCCATAGTTTTTAAGTTCGATTCTGTAGAACTACTATCGTGTCTTTTGCTTTTTATTGGATTGCCTATTTTAAATTCGTATTTTATAATTGATTCAAAAGTAGTATGTGCCAACTCAACGGTTGCTGCGACGTTAATGCAAGAAATGCTTCCTGCTCTAATGGCTTTGATGTTGTTTTTGTTTACAATGTCAGGAGTTATTATTGTTTGAGAAACGTCTGAGGATGTTGGGAAAATGGCATTGTTAGTTGGCAAACAAAAAGGTTAAGGAATTGCCGGCCTATTTTTCTCTTAGTGTGAATTGTTTTCCTGTTTGAGTGTTGTTTGAAATAGGACATGTCGAAACACGTTTCTGTTTCACTGCAACTTGCAGTTTGTGTTTCAATAAACATGGCAACTCATTTCGTTAGTAACGTATTTTGTAGCCTACAGTCCTGGCTACACTATGGAACAAAATTTTGAAGTTTGCCCGTTTCAAGAACATATGCTCGTAAGATTTGGCTGCTTATATAAGTATGTTTTGATATTATAATTCCCAAATATCCATATTGTGATAATTAATTGTATGCTTCTCGATTGTACCAAATTTGACAGATATGACAGAAAGGTAACACAAACAAGTATATTACAGTAGAGCAAGCACGACAAAGAAATACACAGTGTCCACAGAAAAACTTCCGCCACTGTTGTGTTGTGCCTGCAGCTTTGAAACGTAGTACCAATGGGAATTAAAAAATGGAGGTAGTCAACCACATATGCATGAGTAGTTTATGTAGCTTTGGAATTGTGTTTAATTTCGATGAAATACTATGGCGGGGCAAGGGAAAACCACAAAACTAAAATAAAACTCCAATTGAGCACGGCCTCGAAGAACTTAAATATCAAGATTGTTCAGTGTGGGCTTTGTCGTTTCCAAAGCTTAGGCGATCATCCAGACAGATGGACACTCCGACGGATATGTTTAAGTCGATTTGTCTCTTTATGCTGATTTAAATCATATGTATGTATACTTTATTGGGTCTGATATGCTCCATCCACATGTTACATACTTTGCCGAAACCTATCATATCCTTTTTCCCTCCGCGTCAAGAGCATAAAAAGAAAATCAATTGTAATGGTGCACAAACATTGATTGGAGCCCAGACTGCAATTTTTGTTGCGTAGTGTCTTTTGGCAGACAACTTAGCAATAACGCCACTTCTTATCTGAAATGATAAATAAAGGATCTCTGCGTTGATTGCTCGTCGACTCACTTAACTGATGACCGTCGCCGTCGCGGCCGCATCCTTCGTGTTGTGCATTAGTTTTGGTTTATTTTAAGGTTCTGGGTTAATCCTCACCATTTTTTTCTCTGTGCGTCAATCTATCTTTGTTGTGTGTAGTTTTTTTTTTTTGGTTCCTACCTGCTGCTTCTGTTGCGTTTGACCCTTGCACGTGTGCAACCGAATGCCATGAAATGCAACAATTCACAAACAATACGATAAATGTTGGAGTAGGGTTTGGCTACCACAATGCAACTGAAAAGGGTCTTCGTTCCGGAAAAGGGATTAATGCGGCATTGTCCGTGCGGTATTTGTTTAATATTTTGGAATTTCAAACGAAATCAGTAACGTATTTTGTGTGCTTATAGGGAATTTTCGTGATATTCAATATTTTAATGATTTCATTTTATGTTTTCTTTCTTTTTTATTTTGGTGCACATTTATGTAAATATATGTACATATAAACGAGTATGTACTCATATCTTGGGGACGAATATGAATTTATATTATGTAAATCGGCTTTACCTTAAAGAGCTTAAATTATGGCTGTATACATACTGAATAAAACGGGCTATATAGTTAGATAACTAGCTCGGTATATTATGCATTTGCACAATAGAAAACATTTGTAAACATATCTTTACATATTAGATCATGTCCAAATAGACTGAATT